GATGAGGATGAGATCGGGGCTGAGTTGGGCTTGGGGGTGGCTTGGGGGATGGTTATGGGCTGGGCGGGGCTGAAGTGGGATGAGGATTGGGGGGGGTCATGGATTAGTCTGAGGTTGGAAACGAGACTGCATTTCCTTTGGTGATGGGGTTGGGTTGGGGAAGTGGTTGGGCTTGGGGTTGACAATAAGGTGCAGCTGAGGTTGGTCACAGGCTGGGTTTGGGGTTGAGGTTGGTCAGAGTCGGACACAGGGATGGGCTTGGTTACAGAGGTCAAGTCCGAGGTCGCAGGCCACTCACGGAGCCCCCTTCTCCCCCCGCTGGCAGCAGCCGGAGCGGCCCTTGCGTCTCATGCAGTAGAAGGCAGCAACGACGAGAAGCAGGAGGCCCACGCTGACGGCCACGGCCATGACGGCCACTCCGGCCTGGGCGGTCTGGGGGGCCACTGCAGGGACAGGACGGAGGAGGAGGAGGAGGTCAGCCAGCGGCGCTCTGTGTGCCCCACGCCCCGCTCCCGACCCCCACCGTGGTTACTCACCAGCACCAAAATGGAAGACGTGCCGAGCGTTCCCGTGGGCGTTGGAGGCCTCACAGGAGACGCCGTCTCGGCTCAGGGCACTGGTCACCTTCAGGGTCAGGGAGCTGCTCACCCAGCCCTGCCCTCCGGGGGCCGGCTCTGCTGGCTGTGGAGGCTCGGGTCAGGCCGGGCCCATGGGATCAAGGGCTGGGGGTGAGGGCAGAGGTGAAGATGTCCAGTCCCCCAGGAAGTGGGGGGACACAGTGCTCAGATCAGTGAGGGAGCACGGTCCCCCGAGGGGTGTGGGTCTCTCCCACAGGGTTCAGGGTGGAGATGGGGGGTCCCTTACACTGCCGCCCAACTGGCTCCAGCTGAGTTTGGGCTCTGGGTAGCCGCGGGCAAAGCAGATCAGCCTGACTTCGTCTCCTTCCCTCCAGCTGCCCTCTCCCTGGGGCTGAGTCTCCTCTGGCCTCACCTCTGGTCGCCCTGTGGGCAGTGGCGTGAAAATAGAGTGAGGGAGACAGAAAGAGGAGAGAGAGAGTGGAGAGGAATAGAGGGGGAGACAGAGGGACCAGCCATGGACCGTCCCCCTGTCCTGGCCACCCCCCATGCCCCTCCAAGCCTGCCCTGCCCCCGAACCTTGGACGAGCAGCTTGAAGCTCCGGGTGCGGCTGAGGAGGGGGACCCTGGGCATGGAGGCCTCACACAAGTAGGTGCCAGCAGAATCAAAGGTGATTTTGCTGAGTGAGAGCGTGGGGCCATCCCCCAGCGGAATGGAGTCCTGGGGGCGGAGAGAAAGTGAAGGCCAGGCTGGCCATGAGAGAAGGGTAGGGGGCGACAGAAGGGAGGGCATCCCAGGGCTGAGGGCTCCTGTCTCCCACCTTGGTCCAGCGTAGGGCAGGGGTGGGCAGGCCTTGGACGGAGCAGTTCACGGCGGCGCTGCTATTCAGGAATACGAGAAGCTCCTCGCCAGTGCTGAGCTCGAGGGGGTCCAGATCTGGAGCGGGGAACAGACTGTCACCTTCCTCGGACCCTCACCCACCCGGTTAGGGGCTCCCCAGGGCTGCTGGGGGTGCAGACGTGAATGGATGATTGCAAGCAGAGGATGCCGAGGTCTCCTCCTCGCTCTCCATCTCCACAGACCCTCCACTCTCCCATCCAGGCCAAATCTGATCTCCACAGACCCTCCACTCTCCCATCCAGGCCAAATCTGGACCCCAAATCTAAGAGCCTAACCCCGAAACACACGCCCACCTCGACCACTTTTCCCCAGAGCTGGCATCCGGGCCCAAGGTTAATGGATGACCTTGGGGGTGTGAGGTGTTCCTTCTCTGACTTACCACCCAAACCAGGGCCCCCTCCTCCCTGCTCTCCACCCTTTCATCAAGCCTTTATCTGCTCTGCCCCCCAAATGGGTCCTCCCACTGCTCTCCATCTCTGAGCCCGGGGTGTGGCTGCCTTCACCACTGCAGTCACCTCCTCGCTGGTCTCCCTGAGGGGCAGGACTCTGGTCCCCTCCAGTCCAGCCTCTGCTGAGCACCCAGAGGGATGCTTTTAATTTTATTTATTTTTTTCCCCCAAAGCCCAAGTAGATAGTTGTATGTCATAGCTGCACATCCTTCTAGTTGCTGTACGTGGGACGCGGCCTCAGCATGGCCGGAGAAGCGGTGCGTCGGTGCGCGCCCGGGATCGAACCCCAGCCACCAGTAGCGGAGCATGCGCACTTAACTGCTAAGCCACGGGGCCGGCCACGGGGCCGGCCCTGAGAGGGATGCTTTTAAAACACACACTGATCAGCCCTTCCCTCTGCTTAAAATCCTGCAGTGGTTCCCAGGACCCTTGGCATAAAGCCAAACTCTTTGCCAAAGCCAAAATATCCTGCCCGGTCTGGCCCCTGCCTACTTCTTCAACCTCATCTCCCACCCCACCCTCCTTGTCCCCTGAGCTCCAGCTACCCCATTCTCTTGCTGTTTTTCTCTCATGTGCCACGTCGGGTCCTGCCTCAGGGCCTTTGCACTTGCTGCTCCTCTGCCTGGAAAGCCCTTCGCCTGGCTCTTTGTGTTTCTGATTCCATTCTGTGGTTTCCTACTCAAATCTCCCCTTCCCTGAGAGGCCTCTCTGACCCCTAGGGCAGATGCTCAGATTTCCCCTTCAGCACTGAAGGATTTACGCCCCCAGCTGTTGAGAAGGATTTCAGCTGTCAGCCCTCAGCTGTTGGCCCTCTCCGGGAACTGCCTCAGCTGCCAGAGCCCCTCGCTCAAGGTCATGCCCCCTTCCTCAGGCAGCCCAACCTCCAATGACTGGGTGAGGTGGGGAGATCCCAGCTTCCTAGTGCCCTTGGAGCTGACGGAGGCCTTCTGCAGACTGTGGCCCAACTTGTCTCCACCCCATCCTGCTTCCTTCACCTCCCCGCCCCCCAGGGCTGAGGATCCCAAGGCACTCCCCATAAACTTCCTGCCTGCAGACCAAGGAGTCCGAGTCTGCCTCCCCGGTCTAAAATAACCCCCGCTCGCCCGCCCGGCCATCTCCCTATCCTCTGCCTTAGTCCCTGTCGACGCAGGATCGCTCCTCAGAGGGTCTTGTGTAGCATCTGTCTCGCCTACTGGACAGGGAGCTCTGTGAAGGCGGGGACTGGGCTGTCTGGTTCACAGATGTGTCCCCAACATCAGGCACAGGGTCAGCCAGGAAGGGAGGTGTAAGGAGCACTGAGGAGGAACACAGCCTTTACGCAGCGAGGCAGCGTCTTAGCAAACTGGGACCGAAGAGGTTGGTTAGAAACGGATGGGAGAGAGGCTAGGGAGTTATCACAGGAATGAGGAGAGGAGCTTGGGGTGCGACGAGGAGAACGTATAGTGAGGAGAAGGATCAGCCGAAGGTGAGGCGGGCCAGGTGGGCCTTGAAGGCTGTGGTTAGGCTTTCTCTGGAGGGCACTGGGGAGCCATGGAAGGTTCTGAGCAGGGGGAGGTCAGCTTTCTGCGCTGGAAAGAGCTCTCTGGCTGGGAGGGTGGAGGGGGCTGGGGCAGGGACCAGCGGGAGGGGGGCATCTGAAGCACAGACGTGGCTGTGGGGAACGAGGGTGTGGCTGGTGCCCGGGCCCCTCCGTTCTCCCAGGGGTCTCACAGGCCACGCGCAGCTCCAGCGTTTGCGAGAGCTCGGCGTCCTCGGCGGCGTCGTAGTCTTCCACCCTGCAGCCGTAGGTCCCACTCTGGGCCCGCTGCACCCCCTCCAGGGTCAAGTTGCCCTGGAGATCTGTTTTCAGCACGTCCTCCTGCTCGGCCTGGGTGACCAGGGATGAGGATCCCACTCAGGAGCCGCTCTGGTCCCGGGGGGTCACGCTAGGTCGGGGGCCACCCAGTTAGCGTCACACGAAGTCACAGCCCACTCCAGAGAGGGGCAAAGGCCCTGCTCGGCCCGGGGTCACCCAAGTCAGGACCCTCTCAAGGCAGGGGTCAGAGGTCACGTGAGCTCCCGGGTCACCAGTCAGCTAAGCCAGGCGCCCCCAGATGAAAGGTTAGAAGCTGGGGCAGGTCAGCACCTCCCAGAGGTCAGGGCCCAGGGCTCCAGAGGAATAATGGCTGGGTCACCTGGAGGCGGAAGAAGGTGTACTCCGGGCTGGGGCTGCCGTCCCCCCGGCAGAACAGCTGGACAGAGTCACCCTCGCGGACCCAGCCCTCCGTGGTGGCTGGACTGCCCACCCAGAACTGCACGTGCTCCGTGGGATCTAAGAGAAAGGGCGGGGGCGGGTCAGGGCAGACTCACCATCAGGGTCCAGGGTAGGTCAGGTCAAGGGTAAAAGGCGGGGCCGGATTAAGGGAGAGAGGCCAGCGCCACCGACCACGGTCGGTCAAAGGGGAGAGGTCACATCTTTCAAGGTTCAGGTTCACTCTTATTCTGAGATCAGGGACCAGAGGGCAGGATTGAGATAAACTGAGAGTACAGGTCAAGGGTCAGAGATCAGTGTGGGTGACAGGCCAGTGTGAGATTTGGGGACCCAATTCAGTGTGAGAGGGTGGGATGTTTCATGATGTTTAGTCATGAAACTCCATGGGGTTCAGGGTGCTACGGGGGTCAGACATAGGATGGGGCTTGTGCTACTATTTGAGGTCAGAGGTCAGAGGTCAGACACATTTCAGCGTGAGGGCCAGAGGGGAGGGCCGGGCCTCAGGGAGGCGTGGAGTGGGGGGCGGGGAGGTCAGGGCCGGCGGGGACTCACAGTGCAGGGTGAGGCGGAAGACAGGGCTGTCCAGGCGGCCCTGCCGGCCGGCGGGCAGGCGGTGGCTCACGGAGCAGTGGAAGCTGGCGTCCCGGTCGGCCTTGCGGAGCCGCAGGTAGAGGGTGCTGGTGAGGGACAGCAGGCCCGAGGCCTCCCGCACGGTACGGGTGGTCATGTAGCCCTCTGGGGGAGACGGAGGAGGCCGTCAGGGGCCGGGCCACCAGCCCACCCCGCCCCCCGTCTGGCCAGGCTCCTGCGCCGCTCACCTGAGTTCACCTCCAGGGGCACCTCCAGGAGCTGCCCGTTCCGATACCACGTGATCTGGGGGGCCGGGTTCCCGTTGGGGCTGTTGCAGGTGGCGATCTGAGGCGAAACGGGCGTGGCCCTGGGCTCTGAGCCAGGACTCTGAAATCTGGGTCCCTGCCTCCCTCAGAAGTTCTCCCCACTCAGATACAGGAGTCTGGGCTCCCAGCCCTCTGCTCCCCAAGGACCCAGATGTCCACACCTCCGGGCCCCTCCTCAGACGGAGAAACCCAGGCCCCCAGCGCCCTCCTCCCCAGGATGCAGGAGTCCAGGCCCCTCCAACCTTAGGCTCCCAGATTCTAGGCCCCCCAGGCCTCTCCTCCCCCAGGATAGAGGAGTCCAGGCCCCCAGCCCCTCCTCCCCCAGGATGCAGCAGTCCAGGCCCCCAGCCCCCTCCAGCCTTAGGATCCAGGATCCTGGGCCCCGCAGCCCCCTCCTCCCCAGGATGCAGGAGTCCAGGCCCCTCCAACCTTAGGATCCAGGCTTATGGGCCCCCCAGCTCCCGCCTTCCCCAAGACCCTGGAATCAAGGCCCATCCCAAGGTACCTCCTGGGCAGAGTCATCCATCACAGATAGAATCCCTTTGTTGGGGGAAACCTCGGTGGCCTCTGGTTTTGCTGTCGGGGAGACGTTACTGTCAGGAGCCCCTTCCCCGGGCTGTCTCCTGCCCGCCCCTTCCAGGGGTGCCCTTGGACACTCACCGAACACTCGGAGCTGGGTGGTGGCCTCGGCGGTGTCCGCTGCCCCCGCCTGCACCACGCACACATAGTCCCGCTCGTCGCCCACCTGGGCGTCGGCCAGCACCAGGCGCCCCTGGGAGTCCAGCTGGTATGGGGGGCTGCGGCCCCGGGAGTCGTGCATCCTGACCTGGAGCTCAGAGCCCTGCAGCTCGGCCGAGGCCAGGCGGTGGCGGGCCCCGGAGCGGTCGGCCTGCCGGCGGGGAGGGCCTCAGCTCGGAGCTGCCCAGCCCACCCTCCTCCGTGTCTCTGTCTCTCTCATGCTCCTTTCTTTCTGCTGCTCTGTGGGTCTGTCTCTTTTCCTCTTGTTACCTGTCTCTGGTCCCTCTGTCCCCCTCTCCACACCCTCCTATCCCTGTGCCCTATCTGTTGTCATCTCCCTCTCTCTCCATCTCACTCTGTCCCCATCTCTCTTCCTCTCTCTCCGCCTCCCTCTCCCACCCTGTCTCTCTCTGCCTCTTATTTTCTCTTCTTCTCTGTCTCTCTCTTTAGTCCCGACCCCTGGGTCTCTTGCTTTCTTGGTGTCTGTCTCTGAATGTTCTCTCTGAAGAGCCAGCCCTCTGAAGAGGGAATTCTTCATTCTAGTCTCAGCTGTGCCCGGACACCAGGGAACCCTGGAGAGTCCCTTCCCTTTGCTGGGCCTCAGTTTCCCCATCTGTCAAATGGAAAGGCAGATTGCAGAGCTCTTAGGGTCCTTCAGGCTCTGACGAGGGAATAGATGTTTGTGGCCCCGCTGCACCCTGCTCCCAGGGCCCCTTCCACCACCCCCGGCCCCAGCCCGCAGCACTCACCAGGAACCATTCCAGCGCAAAATGGTCGTGCATCCCCAACGCGGTGCAGTTCAGGGTGGCTGACTTCCCTCGCATTACCTCCACCAGGGAGGGCACAGACCCATGCACCTCAGCCTCCACACCTGCGGGAGGGCAACTGAGCTCTCACTGCCACCAATAGGGACAGCCCTCCAGATAGAGCCCCGCCTTCCCCAGGACCCGGGGGTCCGGGCCCCCAGCCTCCTCCTCCCTCAGACCCGGGGGTCCGGGCCC